CCCATCCCCAGGGGCTAGGGCGGGGCCCCAAAGGGAACATTTACCAATATTTTCAAATTCTTATCCATTGATGACATGACAAGTATTGTATTTCACTTAGTTTACATGCTGATTTCCACATCACATCTAAACAATAAAATAAAGCTACCAGTACCTATGATATAACTCAGGTGACCGCTAAGGCCCTTGGGCCTCTTGTTATTGTATATGATCTTATTGTATATGACCTCATTTTGTATGACCTTATTGTATATGACCTTAGTTTGTATGACCTGATTGTATATGACCTCATTGTGTATGACCTCATTTTGTATGACCTTATTGTATATGACCTTATTTTGTATGACCTTATTGTATATGACCTCATTTTGTATGACCTTATTGTATATGACCTCATTTTGTATTACCTTATTGTATATGACCTCATTTTGTATGACCTTATTGTATATGATCTCATTTTGTATGACCTTATTGTTTATGACCCTATTGTAAATGACCTCATTTTGTATGACCTCATTGTTTATGACCGTATTGTATTTGACCTCATTGTGTATGACCTTATTGTACCTATATGACCTCATTGTGTATGACCTTATTGTATATGACCTCATTTTGTATGACCTTATTGTATTTGACCTCATTTTGTATGACCTCATTTAGACATTTTGTATTACCTTATTTATATGACCTCATTGTGTATGACCTTATTGTATATGACCTCATTTTGTATGACCTTATTGTTTATGACCTTATCGTATATGACCTTATTGTATATGACCTCATTTTGTATGACCTCCTTTTGTGTGTGACCTCATAGAACAATGAGTCAGGTACAAACAGCTTTGTATATACAAAATGTATAGACTAGTTTAGTGGTGGTTGAATTATAGTGGGACAATCTAATTTTGGTGTCTGAAGAGTTGGACAACAAGATTTTGATAGTAGTGCCAGATTAGTGGTGACCTGATAATGGAGCAACAGTATTAATAGTTATTGACTTCATACTATATTCCAAGCAATTTTCTTGAAATTGCTGAAAAATTACTGTGACAATTTGGTTTAGAATGAGGTCAACATGTCCCTTTAAATATTGTCTGGACAATAGGGCAAAAAGTCAAGTTTCATTTACAAGGCTTGATAATAGATACGACAAATCGCTGCATAACTGAACTCTAAAATTCTCTTTTGAAGGATGGACCTGTTTTTTGAGCGGACCAATGCCATCACTGAGAGGATGTGGTCTGCTGAGAACATGAAACCTGAGGATTGGAACACGTATGTCTTCCACATCCCCGGGGTCGACTGTCATGGTGAGTTAATCATAGTTTTCAAGTACAGGTACTTTTCCATGCAGCAGTGTATGCTTAATTGGTTAAAGTTTTATAATGGCTTACCATTCGCTTAAAAATGATGTTCGGATGCTGTTTCTTTGCATAGAATTTCTTTAGGGGTCTAGCATTAATGCTGTGGATTAAAAATGGATGGTGTTTTGTTTTTTTTTGTTTTTTAATTTTTGACATGTTTTCGACTTAAATATCTTGGCTAAAATCTGCAGGTTAAACTTTGGGTGAAAATTTTGTAATGGCTCACTGTTCACTTAATAATAGTGTTAGGATGCTGATTTTATGTACAGAGGTTCTTTAGGCGTTCTCTAGGGTGTTTCCGCCGAGCCAATCAGGCGAGAGGTGGGCGGAGCTTGTTTCCGAACACGGAAGTGACGCTCGATGTGGGCGGAGCTTGCTACCGAACTCGGAAGCGGTAGCATTTGGCTCCATTGCCATCAAAAGGGTAATTGGGACAGGAAGCTATACAGCTTATGGTTTACAAATATTTTCTAGTTAAAACTATCTCTCCAGTGTGTATCGGTATATTAAACCGTTGAGGGATATAGAAACTTGCGCCAAGGGAAATAGGCATGGTCAAGGGACACTAGAAACTTGCTTTATCCCTCAACCCCATACTTTAACTGTATACTAACATTAAAACCAACTTACAGCATGGAACACTAGAATCTTACTTCAGCTATCGTTCCGATCTGGCTTACAGTACAACAGTAAAACAATTACGAAAGTAATGTGCAGATTCTAGTCGTTTTGAAAAAATAAACAATAAATAGAGCGCTATTTAAGAAGGAGATGGATAATGAAATGGAATAAAACCAATGATAATGACATATTTTTTAATATTGAAACATTTTGTTTACCCAATCTGAGAAAGCAAAAACAACTATACAGTGATTTAAGATCACATATCATCTTTGAACATTTTGCTTTGCATGAACATGCTATACTTCACTTATAACCTGGAAATGAAAAGATTGACCAAAGTTAAAATGTGTATTGGATAACTGTGTCTGGTATTTGACTATGATAGAATATTTGAATATTGAATGTCAAAAAGGTTGTCCCACTGCCCTCATTGTGTTGGACACTGGAGCCTATGTTCCTCTGAGTGAGGCCGTTAAAGTGTTCCAGCAGACAAAGTTTACACAAACCAGGGGGCCCTACAGAGTGAGTATATGAAAAACAATTAACTTCTGTGTTTTATCAAAACGTGATATTAACCAAATATGATATTAACAAGACATGATATTAAACAAATGTGATATTAAATGGTTCATGATATTAACAGAAATATGATATTCAGCATTAGTTACATTGTATGAAAAGTAATTCTCTGTTGAACTATTCATTAACCAATTAAACCATAGTAGAGGTATAGTGCAACCAGGAAGTCTGTCTATCCATATGTTGACAGGAGCTTGTCTGCAGGCTCACTGCTGTTTATCTTCTCAACTCATTTCTATGTAACTTTTTAGGTCACCTGAGACAAAATTTATTATGGTTTATAATGGCAAATGATACTTTGAATATTACATGTTAATAACTTGATTGGAATTATAACCCTGAGTTGACAGTTTGATACTTTGAAAATTTTGAGCTAGCTCTACCCCAAGGGCTGTAGGGTGGGGCCCAAAAGAGTCAGTGTGCTAAAATTTCTTCATTTTCCTTGTTTGGAATCGGAGGTGCTAGTTTCAAGTACTTTTTAGTCTTAAATCTGTATGCTAGATATTGAATAAGGTGGTTTTATTGTTTTTTTGTCACTTTGAATAATATTTCTGTTCATATTAAAAACCAAATCAACTCTCTGTATAAATATATCAGGTGACCGTTAAGGCCCATGGGCCTCTTGTTATTACACATGACCAGTACCTTAGATATGCTAGTGATTTATGTGTGGTCGGGTGGCGCAGTGGATAACTCCCTCGCCTTTCACCGAGGCGGCCAGGGTTCGATTCCCCGATCGGATGTGAAAAGGTATGGAGTCACCTGCCTGGCCACTTGGGTTTACTCTTGGTACTCCAGTTTCCTCCTACTTGAATACCACTTGTCTATTGGGGTAGTATTTTCAATATTTACAAGTCTGTATGCAAATTCTACTAACCCAGTATTATTCAACATAAAAAAAGATAAGCTGTATAGTATCATTTTTCCCTCCAGGTGGCGATCTGTATGGCACTGTCTGGCTCAAGTATTCTGTATGGAAAGGTACAGCCGTACCTGAATGAGATAGAGCTACATGAACACATCTATATCCAAGGTCCGCAGGGACATCAACGGGACGCAATCAATATGTTTGTCTCCATCGGTATGACATTTACTTGTAAAATTGGATATAGGTCTTGAGATTCTATGGGTCATCTTTGTCTATTACTGTATACCGGGAAATTATCGCTGCAGTTTGATTTTCGCCTTTTTCACCCTCCGTCATGTTGGTGAATTTATCACAACAACGAAAATTTGTAAACAATATAATATACATAGTAATTAAATGTGAAGGGCGAAATTATTACTCAGCAAATACTGATTTTACTGGCAAAGGGTGAAAGTTTGACTGAGTGAAAAAAAAATCTGATAGACAAATGTAAAAATATTTCAGTAAAACGAAGAAAATTATTTAGGATGCATCAGAATCTTAGCTTAAACTAGTATAACATTTTAAGCTCACTAGACTGGTGGAGCAGTTGGGGTGGGGGTGGGGGG